GCGTTCTCTTCGCCGGTTTCAGCAGCCATCTTTACACCGTCTCTTCTTGCTCTGCAATCCTTGGTATTGTGTGTCTTGCTCTTGCACTTGTTGCACCATTTTCAGCTTTCATCCAGCAATCGGAACTTTTATGTCCTTTCTTGTCACACTTAAAACACTTTCCTTCAAATTTCTTCTTCACGTACATTACGTTGTCGCCATTCTCCGCCGGTCTGCAGCACTTCTCGTTCTCTTCATGGTTACGCAATGCGATTTTGAAGTCGCCGAAATTCATCTGGTTTTCTCGTTGAATAACCACCGTAGAAAATGTTTTATACGCGTTTGGTAGACCCTTGAGTACCATGGCAATCAGAAGTCCATCACTGATTACTTCCTCGGCAGCCTTCAATGCGGTCGCGGCAGTTTCTGCCCGTATGATGTAGTCCGTAATTGTCTCATTTTCTGTCTTCTTCAACGACGTTAACTCCGTGTACAGCGAGATTATTCTGGGCTTTCCCTTGCCTTGATAATGTTCTCTCAGAACCGTCAGGGCTTTTCTTCCATTGTCTTTCGCTTCTCGTATGACCAGGGCCAAGCTCCTGTCATCTAGACATTGCACTAATTCGGCAAAGGCATCTGCGTTCTTTGCCTCATCTAGCTCACTTTCGCTACCGCTAGGAACGAATATATTGTAAAGTTTTTGGAGTCGCATATATCCCAAAAACTTCACCACCCATAATTCATACTTGTTCTCGTCTCCATCAAAAATCAAGCCTCTCCTGGGCCCATAACCTGTTGGGTTTTGTACCGTTGCCATCGCTCTTTCTCGAATACGAAGCACAACATACAACTTTGGAGTTTTACAAAAGAATGTATTTAATAATAAAAATCACACACACATATATATATATATATATATATATATATATATATATATATATATATATATATATATATATATATATATATATATATATATATATATATATATATACAAGATTATATCTATAATAAGTATTTTGACATATCACATTCTATTACCATAAATGGTATACAGTTTGGTACATGGAGCAACTATTTGTACTGGAATTTGTGGTATCCAGAAATTACATATTACATACATATCTATAGTAATCAATGTCATTCATTAACTAATAATCTTATTATCATTGTCAACAGAATATCAGGAGCATATTCTAACAAACCTATTTCAGAAAATGCCCACATTTCAGTCCTAGGGGTGGAAAATTATAAAAAATTTTCTGCGGAGAGTACCCCCAGACTCCCCTGGTAGTACACACCATACCACACCAACCTTTTTGTCACCAACAACCACCTGTCATCTCTCCACACTCAGTATAGTATGGTCCCTTTTTGTAGATGCCCACCCTCCCCCGAGACAAGTTCTTAAAAAAGACCTGTGTTCAAATCATTTCGCTGTATGAAGACGGGCCATGGGTTAGGGTTATGGTAGGATAAATGTTGCATTACAAAATAGTAACACATAATATTATATATTTTCTAATCATATATGGTTGGATCATATTCACCAGGGTAAAACATCATGAGCTAGATTATACAGATTGTCCTAATGATCCAAATTTACCTGCAACGCACACCTGTTTCATTGCTGTTAATTTTTCAATCCACTCCACACTGGGGGGGGGGGGAGTCAGAGACGTTTCTCCTTTTATGAGGGGGAAGGCACAAAAAGTCTGAAGGGGGGTAGATGAAGTTTTCAATCCCTATTTTTTCATTTACCATCCAACCCTCCCCTCCCCATACATTATGACCACTCCCTAAAGGCGTAATTCCAGTCCTCGCACGACGCTCCTCGCAGCTCGCTGCGAGTGCTTGCATTTAAGTAAAATTAACTCCTAAGCATTGTGATTGGATGAAAGTACTCATGCATGCACTCGCAGCGAGCTGCGAGGAGCTTCGTGCGGGGACTGGAATTGCGCCCTAAGGAAAATATTACTGCAGCCTTCCAAGTGGGCAAGATATATACAAATTTGAAAATATAGAAGAAAGTATAAAAGGCAATATAGTTTCACAGTTTTGCTTCCTTCTATCTCCTTTCTTCTCGTGCATGCGACGACAAAAATTTAAAACTTCATTACTTATAAAAAAGCTCATAAACTGATTGTTAAAGCACAGTTAATAGTCTATTAACTTTGGTTAAAGTCTTCCTAATATTTTGAGTTTAATAAGTTCTTTGTATGTTTTTTTATTTTGAGTTTAGTTGAATTTCTTCAATTGAGACAGCAAATATAGTCGAAAGCTTGTATACAGTTTATATCGTCATAGTGATGTATTTCGTGACATCATTCCTAAAGCACGATACTAAAAGTGTTTTAATCCACACTAGGAGTGGCTTACACTGTATAAGCTGAAATTCATATTTAATCATCGTTACATAACATCTATACATACAGACAATCATTGATTGTGCAAAAATTATAGAGGCAACAACGCAATTTCCCCCTCCCCAAATGTTGCAAATATGACGTAAAGCCTTGAATGTCAGCCCAATTTTTTCTCAACATTGTCTACGGGAGGGGGAGAACTTTAAAAAGAGGAGAAAAATATAAATGCCTCATTATTTTTGCACTTGATTGTAGACTATAGGGTTTCAGACAGCAATTCGACGTTAACTAGAGTCCTGGTTAATTAACCAGGTGTCCGACCTATTCTGGTTAACCAGAGGTTAGCCAGGTCTCTAGTTATTCTATTGGTAAAAGGGGGTATTTGGCAAAATTTCAGTTGAACGTTTTCGTTTCATATTTTGTTTCTTGCGTCGAAAGAATAATTATGTATTTCAGTTTTAAAACAGCAAGTTTATTCACTCTTTATTGCCTGATACCGTAAATTTTTCTTTGCCTGGCGTTTGCCGTATAACGCGAAGCTTAAACTCTCTAAAACTACTGAACTGGCAATCGGGTGACACGTGCCTAGGTCCCCGTTGGGAGTTGAGATCTTTTCCGAATACAAAGCCAGACCTGTCAAGTTTTGAAAAATTTTATGCTGGAATGTAATTTCCTTGGGTTAGTTTCCACGAGGCGCCAGCATAGTTGGCGCGCCCTGGGGGAAATTTTGAAATTTGACTTTCCCAGATCGCCAGAAAATTGCCTTTCCGAGGTCCCTCTTCCGCCTTTTTCGAAGCACAAACCTTATGTGTTCATGCAATAAAAATATGAAATGTTAGCGTCGCTTCTCCTTCCAAAACGGCAAAAATAGCGTTTCTCAGGGCCCTCTCATGCTCAGGAGTCTCCCAGCTTTATGTCTCTTTATGATATGCGATTGAGACAACTGGCGTTGGCAAAAAGAATGCATTGAACATTGTGCAAATGAAAAGAAATGGGAGTAATTGCCCCACAGGAAGAAACCTCAACAAGTTAAGTTTAAAAATGCGGGAAGAAAGTCACTTCGTGCGTGATGCGTGAAAGCAAACAAAAATGCGGGAACTTCACGGTAACGGGGGGAAACTTGGAAGGTCTGCATTCTGCAAACCTTGAGGAACAATCTTTGCTTCACATATATCCAAGCTTGCAATGCACTGTCACACAGACTTAGTATGTCAACACTATATATATTACATATTGAAATTTCTTCTTGATACAGCCAAATAAAATAAAGGAAAGACATGATATTTACATAAGCAAAGAAGTAGAATTGTGCAGATCCAGCCTAGACCTAGGCCTTTACTCGGCTGGTAATTATCGCAATGGTCATTTGCCTCGTAGAGGCCTAGTAGATTTCACAAGTTCTCAAATTAGTCCCATAACTTTGTGATCCGAAATTGATCAGAAACCAACAACTAGAGCAACTTATACTGTCCAGTAGTTATTACATTAACTATAAAAACATTTTATGACTATAAAACTAAGTTCTATTTTGTAGTAATATTTTGACTCATTTTGACCTTTCGCAACCGATAATAATAGTGTAGCTTCAAACTTTATGATAAAAACCCCGATTTTCTAGGCGTGTGATACAAATAAAAATAGTAAGTTTATACTATAAATGAGTTTATTTTACCTGTATCGGTTTAAATTCGCCATTAAGTTGCAAATAATTCTGTTTGAGAACGCAATAATTGGGCATTTCTTAACCAGGGCAGTTTCAGGGCAGTTTTGGCCTTGTTGTTGGGAAATCCACTAGGCCTTTTATTTTTTCGCTTGCGCATCCTCCGCCTCGCCCCCAAATCACCTAGTCCCAGTCTTTTCATGTAAAAAAGCGCTGAATATTAAAAAAATAATAAAAATAAAAGGCCCAGGTCTAGGCTGGTGCAGATCTAATCAGTCTAGTATTCCAGTCCAACTCCAGTCTAGACTTGCAGCTCCAAGTCTCTCTTTCATTGTCATATAGTATCGATCCACTATAGTGTACATTACATGACGTAGTACGGAGGGGCGGAGCGAGAAAGAGAGACTTGTCAACTTCGGAAAATCTCGGTTCAAAACTGAACCGAAAATGCAAGACTTGCTTTAATTGTTTTCTGTCAGTGCTTACATGTATTGATCTAGCACATTGTAACTGAATAACATGAGTTCCATTATAGTTTAAAATATACAGAAAGAAATTGAAGGAAAGCAATTACTTGACTGTTCGTTAATAGATGACTTTTTAACTTCATTTAGGGTTAGGGTTAGGGCTAACCCTAACCGTAACCCTAGTAAAGCAAGTCTTGCATTTTCGGTTCAGTTTTGAACCGAGATTTTCCGAAGTTGATGAGTCTCTCGCTCCGTCTCTCCGTATATGACAATGAAAGAGAGACTTGGAGCAAGTCTAACTCCAGTCCAATGACTCCAGTCCATGTTTTGTACTATTCCATTTAAAAATACTCGCGCCATGGGTCCTCGCGCCATGGTATATATCGGTGGCAAACCTCGGTATTGATAACTTGTCGTGAACTGAGCAGGTTATTTCATGAACAGGTCATTTCAACATACTGTAATATGATTGGTCGAGACAACACAAGGTCTTTGTTATTGTGAATAAGTTATGTTGCCTAGCGCAGTAGAGAACTTCATGTGAAATATTTGATCGAAATATGGTCGAATTAATGCAAGAAGACACAAATTTGGTTAGTCAAAGTAAAATATATTTAATATCCTTTATTCTTGCGATCGTATTTTGAAATTTGATTGCATATTTTAGTCAAGACGAACACAGAATATATCGAAAGACAACACGGAGTCTGCAGAAATGACGGATTCTAACAAGGTAATATATATTTATATTGATATTTAGCAAACTATATAGACAGTACAATCTTACATTTTATATATATCAACAAATACGAAGGTTTAAAATCACTTGTAGAAGTGGTTTACACTTGTTGTTGTGGTGTTAAAATTTCAAACGCAATAGCTTTGCTTTGTGGCTTCGTATTTCATCTGATCAAAGGGCAATTGTATTCCAAATATAATGAAAGATCTTTAATTTAAAATATTGCCGCAACAATATTTATTGCCTCATTTTTGACTCAAATATAATTTCGAAATATTCCCTTATAATGAAAGAAAATTCATGTGGACATGCATTTGTTCAATGTCTCACTCCGTATGTATTTGAACAGCAGCCAAAATTTGAATCATATCCATTTAACTAGGGAATTGTACTATATACTGTAGGGCACAGTAAATATCAGAATTTTGGGCCTTTCGATAGAACTCATTTGTAAAAGTGTTTTGTATATGGAAATTTTGAGTGTAAATTTAATACGGTACATTACATTTAATAGAGGCACTATGATTAGTTCCAACTGCTGATTACTTCTAATGAATGTATAACAATTCACACTCTCAATTTTTATCTACAAAAACCCATCTACAAATCAATTCTATGAGTGTAGATATCTGAAATCCTGAATTTCCCCATACACCATATATTGGCATTGCCTTAGGCCCCGTTTACATGAGACCGGGACGAAGTCAAACCGGAATGAAAATTGAAATTGTCAACATGTTTACATGAGACCGGTACGAGGATCACAAAATCTTCAATTTCCAAACTTTCCAGTCAGGGCTAGAGCTTGACAACTGGACCCTGTACATGAATGGGTCAGAGCGCTGGACCAGAATGTCAGGGCTGCAGGTTCAATTCCTACCAGAGGGTCTATAGTTGCATTTTTCACAACTGCTCCTGGTTAGCTCTAAATAAATGTATAAAAATTATACTTGAAATGAGAGAGAAATGAGAGAGAAATGAGAGAGAAATGAGAGAGAAATGAGAGAGAAATGAGAGAGAAATGAGAGAGAAATGAGAGAGAAATGAGAGAGAAATGAGAGAGAAATGAGAGAGAAATGAGAGAGAAATGAGAGAGAAATGAGAGAGAAATGAGAGAGAAATGAGAGAGAAATGAGAGAGAAATGAGAGAGAAATGAGAGAGAAAGGAGAGAGAAATGAGAGAGAAATGAGAGAGAAATGAGAGAGAAATGAGAGAGAAATGAGAGAGAAATGAGAGAGAAATGAGAGAGAAATGAGAGAGAAATGAGAGAGAAATGAGAGAGAAATGAGAGAGAAATGAGAGCCATTAGAGTTTCCAGCTGAGATCAGTTGAAGTATACAAGCCCAATAAGTTAACAGTGTATTGAAAGGCCTCCTTTTTTATTTAAAAGGCTGTTTTATTTTTGTACTTAACCCTATGCATTAATTGATGGGACAAAACTGTTTGGTTTGTGCCAGATTGGAAAGTTTGCAAATTATGCGGACGATATCAAATTTTGGATGGCATTTTATGCAGTCATCTCAATATTTCTCTGGGGCCTGGGCTTTGATGTATCATTTTACTATTATTACTATTACAAAATTTTATCAAAGTGTACAGGCAAGTCAATCTGTCTTGAAAGTGCACAGCTGAAAATGTCTGCAAAATGTGCAAGGGATTTATCACCATATACATGGAATGAGACTTCTTTGCATGCTGTCCCGACACATGTGCCAAATACTAGTAATGTATATCATATGTTTATGTCACTTGTCTGGCGCACAACAGCACACATGCCATACTGTGTATCACCCGTGTGTTACAAACTTTCCAATGTTGAATTAGGCAACGTCTATATATTATTGATCTACATCAGTGCTAGTAATATCAGAACATTGGTGAACATCCAGGCTTACACATTGATTTGCAATAATCACATTGTGTTTCCACAAACCAAAACAGATACTATTTATTAAAATATATATTAAATTTAAGAATATACATATAGATGAAGGAAAAATAAGGTTGAATAAAGTATCTAGAGTCAACAGGACAAGAATCCCATATACAGTAAGACCAACCCCCAAAAACAACAATGGTTGTAACATTTATTTATAGACACAAACCCACAATTAAATACACACTGATCTATTTGAACAAATGTTAACATGAAAAGTGCATGAAATTGTCCTTTAAGAGTGACAAGTTGGATTGTAGGAATGACATTTCAAGGAACGATAAGTCTTCCAAGTATATCATTAAGTACCATGCAAGGCTTCATACAAAGAATTTATAACTTTAGGGACATGCTGGATACCAGTATTTGATATCCGGTAAACTATGGATAACTGGCATTATCCGGATATTCACCATGATAGTACTGGAACTTTTATTAGAACCTAAAAACTTTTCTTTGTCTTATTTGTGCTTCAAGAAATTGTGGAGCAGGAGCAATTCCTGGAAATGCAGAGAAGGTTTTCATGAAGTAAACTGCTCTCTGCTGTAGATTGCCTGATATTTATGCTTATAAAAAGAGACAAGGCACACAGTTAAACCGTGAACTATATTATCAGGATCCAGTATCGGGTTATCATGTTTTCCTGACGAGTATCCAGTAGAATATTATCTGGTGCTGTCTGGTTTCCAGCGGACTACCATTGGGTACCATTCAGCAAAGACGGATTTTCATATTTTTTACTGGGGTGGTGCCAGAAATTTTAGGGGGTGAGCTGTGAGCAGGTGACTGAAGCAACACAAAGTGTCACCAAACCCCAGTAAGGTCTACTGTATATTCTAGGGGTGGAGCACTAGAGCCGCGAGAGGGAGTCTAGAAAGCAGAAAACAAAGTATCCCAGAAAAAATTTGAAAAAAAACATGATTTCTAGCTTCGAAAAAAAATTTCTTGAAGTTGTCATATCAATGGATTTGGCATGTCAGATTGTCTGTTGAGACTTTAGAGAGTTAAAGACTTAAAGTTAAATGAACTTGTAAAGTGTAAAGTGTAAACCCAATACACAATATGCTTTTACTTTTATATAGTCATTGACATTGTGTTGTTTGAATCCGAGTACAATGGACCTTCAACCTTATAACTAAAATTTTGATCTAGACAAAAATTTTATCACAGCTCTTTGCTCGAAAGAGCATCACAAAATTAGTAATATTCCAAAGCGTAATTCTCAAACTATTTCTTATGTTAATAATACTCTCAAGAAAAATTCCCTGGAGGGAATAACTGAAATGTTTCAGTTTTCCTGCAATGATAACCATAATTTAAGAAGTAACACTTAACTTAATGCTGAGGTTGGCTAAACCAAAAACTAATGCAATGAAAAAGTCGTTCAGTTATGCCGCCGCCAACATCTGGAACTCACAGAGCATTTCAGAAAGAAAGAAACAAAGTAATTAATTTGATTCAATGATTTGATCTGTACCGTGTGTATAAAAAAAACTGAACCCTTTCAAATTTAAATTAGCTATAACGTATTGTAGTAATTTGACAGCTCTAGTTGGTTTAAATTAATGGTTGGATAAGAACACTAGCTCTTGTACTCATGGGACAAAACTCAAAGAAATAAAAATTAGAAAATTTAAAAGAAATTAATTAAACCATTAATTCAAGGCAATTAGAGCTGTCAAATTACTACTATACGTTATAGCTAATTTGAATTTGAAAGGGTTCAGTTTTTTTTATACACCCCGTATAGTGGGTTATGTCGTATTAAATGTATTAGACGTGTAATTATGTATATTGTCCTGTATTGTATTGATATTATTGTAATTTTAGCGTAATCACACGGCCTTTTGAAAAGCAGCATTTTATTTTTCTTAATTTATTATTACATGTTTAATATATAAATTAGATGTACGTATATATTGCTGAAAAGATATTGCATGTTTAATATATAAATGAAATATACGTATATATTGCTGAAAAGTTACCGTGCATAAAGATTTTTAAATAATAATAAAATAATAATAAACTCCAAAGTTTCGTTGCGAATTGTTGTAAAGAGCGGATAATATAGCCCTGCGGAGTTTGCCGTTTTTCAGTAATTTTGTATTACAAACGGGAAATTGATACCCCAATCGGGTATTGGGGTATCAATTTCCCATGCGTAATACAAAATGACTGAAAATTGCAAATTTCTCAGGGCTATATTATCCGCATTTTACAACATTTCGCAACAACACCTCGGAATATTACTAATTTTGATGATGCTCTTTCAAACTGTAGTGAAATTTTTGTCCAGACTTGTCTAGATCAAAATTTTAGTTATAAGGTTAAAGGGTAATGGCAATAAAATTTTTTATTGCTTTATCTGAAAGAGCATGAAAATATAAGCCGATTGGCCGTTTACTGCTCTATTCTATCTCATCTGGTTCCGAAGCGCAAAAATGTACAAAATATAAATTGCTGATTCAGCACAACGTGTGATGTCATTGGTAGGGTAAGTATGTTTAATGATGAGACGCATGGGAAACTACTTCTAATTTTGTTGTCAAGGCAACACAGTCGTTCCCAGGCCAGGCCGCTTACACTGATTTTGAATAACTAGTTGCATTTACCTATGTGTATGTCATTTTCGAATTATTATCATGCAAGTAAACTTTTGGCATACATAGGTATGGTACACATACTTCTGACATTATTTTATTCTTATAAGTACCATGAACAAGACGCCTGCTCAGGCGTTCACACTGGCCTGAAAATAACGAGATACGTGCTATGGTGCAAAAGGCAGGAATTCAAATCTTAAACCGCAAGCAAATTTTATGGACTTTTTAAATGCAACGTGCAAATCATGCCGACCTACAGAATCGATTTACGGTTTTTTCTAACAGCGCGTTGTTTTCATGTGCGTTCCATGGGCCGCGCTAAAAATATAAATATTCTGTAAATACCGAAATAAAAGATGAGAATCTCAAGACACAAGCTT